TTCACAGTATATCAAAGGCAAGGCAAATTAAGAATCACCACCATTTCTTTCTGTACAGAGAGAGCTGATTAGCGTACCTAAATTGCACAGGCTTCTGCAATTGTAAGCCGCCTCTTATTTTGTTGTTTGCTGACCACTGTAAGTGATTTGGTTGTATTGATATCATCCTTGAAATCTAGTAAGTGCTTGGTTATAGAGCTTCTTGAAATCTTCACTAATGTAATGTTTCCCCATTACACATCACAAAGGCTCTCGAAAAATTCCTGGCATAAAGAAGACCCCAAGCATTTAGTCTGCATCTCCTTACACTGCCCAGGCTAACAAGTAATAACTTCATGGACTATTGTCATATCTTCATCTAGCCGCCCTTAGCTATCTTCTAACTCAATCCTACTTAAGCTAGAGTTAAACGTTGAGGTAGGCAGTGGCTTGGCATGTACAACACTTGTCCACGCTCACTTCAATCCTTATAGGTTCACTTCATCGTAACCTTTTCATATCCTTCACTTTCAAAGACCATGTCTCACAATGACATAATACCACTCAACTGATCAATAAGACTTTCACTTGTTTCCAATGATTGTAAATACGACTGTACGGCTTCACTATTTAAAATCACCGAAAAAGAAAACTTACCTCATTGATTAATCATTTTCGGATGACTTTAAGGGTCACCCTAGCAACTGCTGTGATAGCCAATAACATTATTTTATAAAGAGTGCTTTGTCAAGCGAAATATCGAAGCTTGATTGGTCATTTCTGCAGTTGCTGGGCGGCCTTTAAAGTCACTCTCATTTTCGTGCTTTAACAATCAAACATTTGACCATTGTATAGAACTTCAAGTTTCTTAAAACTACTCACTTCATTATTCTAAAATACAGTTTCAACATGTTAGTTTATATAGCAATCAGCATCGAGTCTCGACCACAAAGCAATGATAACTAGTCTCATCTTCTAGTATAAATATGTTAATGATAATCCTGACCAAATTGCATTTATATTTTAGAGAACTTAGGGATTTTTCAACTATCTTTCCTCTCCCTTTGGAAGCATATTTAGGTAGAGACATATCAAATAAAAAATACGCTCACATTCAGGTCATATAATACTAAAGTAATGGCGCCATTACAACAATTTGACCAAAAATGCCTGTTTCGTTCATTTAAAGCGGTCAGTTGAAAAAAATATACACAATCATACGACATAAAATCAAACCATCAAACATAGAGACAATTACATATATATTCAATTTGTTTGTCTACAAAGGTAATTTCAGACACTATTTTAGTGAATCAATTATGTACATCACGAACGTATACCAGATTCTGCGTTTGCACTAACTACTTTATTTATACTGCCTAGGAAATCCACACCACTTTAAACCATTCAACTCTTATAGGTGAATCAAGAGGGAAATACCAATGACAAGTTTGGTGTACAAAATACAACCTCAAAGATAGATGCTAATAACTGCAAACCACAATTCTTGATAATATATACGTCCATCCCCTATGTCTCGTTGTATATACACATAATTAGATATTGATTATGTCACCAGCGACCTTTTTAAATGAAAGCGGATAGAAATAACAATGCACATACATCACATAACCCAAAACGCCGAGTAAAGCAACTAGTAATCATGTTTTTCTAAATGCTTATACACACAGGTTGGGGAAAGGAGATCAACTACGTGTTTTCAACCTCATTTTTTCACCCCAATTACTTCCCTCAAGAAGATCGGACCAAACTTCTGAGAGAAACAATAAGTTATTGCATTTTAAACACGCTGATTTCCAAAAAGCAAACTCTTAACCGGATGCTAAATACTTATATAACAATTTGGTCATGTTTTGATTGAAATTCATATAAATTAGTTTGTTACTTTATCGAATAAACTGTCATTGGATAAGTTTTATTTATTCCTGTTTAAAACAATAGATTTTGTAAGTTAATGAAAGTAATAGAAGAGTTAGGAGGAAAATCGAATTGAAACCCACTCAGCAAACTTGTGTACATTCGTGTAGTAGCCAGCGAGTCACACCTACTGTATGAGGGTCATTGATAGTACCTGGCTGCTTAAACCTCGGTAGGTGGAGCGGAGTTCAACCCCATGACCCATTGGCTGCAAGTCATCTCCCTAAACCAAAGCGCCACAACTCTAATGTCTAGACAATGACGAGTTAGAAGAGAAATCCAACTAAACGCCATATGTGACATCAATTTTCTCATACAATAAACAAGCGAATGGGTTTTACATGAATAAACACCAGTCTTAATGATGACATTAATTTCAATAAAGTGTATCCAATGCTTAGAATTCGGTCCTTCACAGTAGTCACAGAGTTACAAAACAGTACGCTATAATTAATTAAAGTTTGCGCAAAATTTCATCCTACTGATAAATTTTTTCAACGTAGGAGTTTTTGAAACAAGTATAATTGCGGCTTATCAACCTCCAGTACATTTCCATACAACATAAGAAGGAAAATTTATGCACGACGGTTAGTGATGCTAGCCGGCTACCCAAGTGGAAGTACACCTATGACCGAGTGGTCGACAGTCGACTGTCCACAGCCCTAATCAACATAGGGTGTCCAGTAGCGTTGACAGCATATATCCTGTTTCTTATAAAAACAAATAACCATAACCATTGATTTGGGCCTTTTTAAAATCTTCATTATACGTTTTTATCGTACTATAGTAATTTCATTGTGCATAAAATAATGAACGCATGCAAAACAGCAATCTATGAAATGTAACGTCTTAAGCACCATACTTAAAAGTTGCAAATGAAACGTGAACGAAATACATTTAAGCCCAAAGTCCACTGCATATTACAAACGACTAGTTACCGAATTCTGTGTATTAACCTACTTTGTTGATGAAGTACGCATTTATGTTTACAATACTACACGTGGACACTACTCATACAGAATGATGGACTGATATAGAGCAATTAAATCACTTGCCTTTAAAACGTTTATTTATAAGAAGGCATTAATCACCCTCAAAATAAGACTGAAAATAATCTAACTGTGATAGAAACTGCTTATATGAATTTTGTTGACATTGGATATAACCAATTATGAATAGCATACAGATTGATTGTTATTAACCTTATTTATTACTAGTCATTTGCCACTTAGCTAGAAGAATAGACGAATAAACTGAAGCACAATACTCCAGTTTTCAAGCAACTTACTCAAAAATCTTAGGGCAAAAGTAACGTTGATGAAATAATACAGTTACTGAAACTCAATAATCTGATTGACAATCCACCAACAAATATGATCAATTCTATCTTTGGTTTGTTTACTTAATCCTAAAGGTAACCAGATATTTAACTAGGACACTAAGTAAACCCCATACATAATAATGAACTTTAATGAAATTATTGAATAGTTATTAGGTATAATTTTTTCTCTTCTTCACTGAACTCATTTTCGGATATTTTGTCACTCAATTGTAAGTTCAGTAGGAAATATTTATAAGCATGAGCGTATATTGCTTGATACCAATCCATTTTTTTTTTAAAAAGAAAAATACTTAAAACCTACAGTGTCATATGATGCAAGAAATAGACTTTATTTCATTTCAACTAGGACAATCACTTCGATACAGGTTGATGAAGTGTAATCTATCATTGAAAATGTAAGACATTAACTGATCGTTAATAAAAATGCATAATCTTCTGCAATGAACTGTTAATAGCACACGCTCTTTCACTTGACACTAGGCATCGTTAGGAAAGTGGATAATAACCAATAAACAGTCCATATAGTACAACCAAATTAGGAATCAGGAAAGATACCTACCGAAACCACTGGATATGACCATGCTATAAATCGAATTAACATAAATTAGAAAAATGCGACCATTCAATTTCCATTCCACGCTACATTGATGAGCTATTGGTCCAACTCCATGCAAGCAACCATGAATGTAAATTGCTGATGCATGCCAGAAGAGGATTAAAAAGCTGCTCAGTGCTTCCTGGTATGTATTAGTTCACTGTGCAATATTATTCCTTAAAAAAGCATTCTCTATCCTGTTTATGATAAGCGTAACAAGCAGAGATGATATGAGTTGTACGTTACCTTAGTTAAATAGTGAGTTACTTAAACAATTTTGTAACATTCCTCAGTGTCTCGCATCCCTAATAAACCATGAATTTACCGAAAACAACAGTTTCTAGTGTCATTGCAGAATAATCTAGCACGTAATTTGTAACTAACTGAATATCCGAATGCACTTAATCAACAAGAAAAATGAAAACATTCAGCGTTATTGATTGACAAAGTACAAATAGCTTTGCTGTAGTTTAATACCAAACTTGTACAATATATAAAATACATTCGATACGTCATATACAAATAATGACGTAAGATTAAGTTGTGGCTGACTTATGGAGAATAGCGTCAGTTGACAAACTTAAGGCATTCCTAAAAGAATGATAGCTGAACTACGAAAAACAAGTGACTGTTATAAATTAAGAAAGCTGTGTCTCCAAAGTAAAAAAGGTGTACGGAACTCAAACTGAAAGCTCTATGGTAAGTGCCTTCCACAAAAAATGTGGCATGTAGTGGCTAAGGAATTCCGTTACTAATAAAGAACTGAGTGTGACACTAGTCATTATTTATAGAGTAATACAAAGCTTAGTCACACAGATAAATGCTACCATAGAGAGGTGTATTTCACGGAAACTTTGCTGATTTGATTTTATACTACTTGAATTTCAGCCACTGTTTTACAATGCAATTAATGATCATAACGAACGGACAGAAGCAGTTGTACTTATTGGTTTCAAAACTGACTTAGGATTAACGATTGGAGTAGTTTTCTGCTTGACATGATAAAACATTTCACCAATCAAAGAAAAGATTATTCGGCGTAAACAATCAATCAGAACTCAGCTTTGAGACTGATAGGATATTTTAAGACAATATTGTAAATAATAAATACCGAATTTCATTTACGCATACATAAAACAAACTTACCAAATTTAAAAGGGGTATTTGCCACCCATCGTGAAAAATCAGCATATCTATAATTCCCAGGATCCGGTGTAGATGGGGGACTAGTTTGTGTGGAACAGGACCGTTTAGTTGCGTTATTGCAACAAGCTACACAAATAGCCTTGTATATTAATTGTAAGCAGATGAGAAAGCCTAAAATACTGGTGTTTCCCCATAAGTGACTCAAATGAAACGAACCATTAGGTGAACTCCATGTCGGTCCATAAAGCCAATAATCAGGCATGTTTAGCCAACAAATTGTACAGATCTATAAATGAAATAAGAAAATATAACCGAGTGATGAGTTGGGCATCTACTATACTTATCAGAGTCATGAAGTTAATCTTAGACAAAATATGAAGTAACTATTTGTAGAATAGATTTGACTACTATGAGCTGAATACAGTGAACATTTCAAAACCTCAGTGGACAAAGTGGAATTGAAACCCGTGACCCAATCGACAGGATTTGGTTGACTTGGACTTTGAATCACAGTTTTTTAATGTTGTCCTGTGAATCAATCAATAACATATGAATCACTGATGACTCAATCCAACAACTGACCTTTCGACATCCCAGTAGGACAAAGTAAGAGATATGAAGGTCAGATAAGATACAAAGCTACATATTAGTTAACTGAAATACTAATTATTAGTACAATAAAACAATGCTGATTCAAATCTACTACAACTATAAAAAAGACGGATTTGCTACTTGTCCATATTGCCATTCTACTTTTACCCATGGTACTACCTGTATGGTAGAAATTTGAATAAGCGAACAGCAAGCAATAACATTTAAACACAAGGAAATCGGGAAAATGTAGAAAAACAATTCTAAGTACCAACACCTGAAGAGACATTGCGAATCGAGTTCTACAATCCAAAGTCAATAAATAAACAAGCCTGCATCGTTAGTTCATATCTTTACGAGTGGTTGAAAACAAACTGTTGTATTACTGTTAGCACTACAATTTACGTATGAAACCCACTTATACAATTATCAGTTTTGGAATAAAAGTCAAACATTTTAAGTAGTATACTACAACGTCACATATAGTTCCAATCAAACACTCAAGTCGGTAATTCGTGTTCAAAAACCACAAGTCCGGTTTAAACGACATTTTCCTCGGAAGGGTTTTGATGAAAAACTTATCCGTGCTTAGAAATTTGCAGCATTCAACCACTTTATGACATAACCTCTCAGTATTTATGTCACTGATAACAAGTGGGTTTTTAAATTCTTATTACTTACTTAGAAGATATGAATTCACACAGCAGTTTACTTTTTTATGCTACTCTGAAGAAAAGATGGTCGGTTCCAAACAGAAAGATACGATGCAATACAAGACAAGATCTTCATTAACTATTCAGGGTTGAGGCTTTTGATGAAGGGAAACAATGTGTTGGTTTTGAAAGTCGCAATCCAAATAAAACAGCTCTGAAATCAACATTGTTGAAGTGATAACATTCGTATACCTTTTTGCTAGACATTAATTTATTCACTAGAAGTGAAAACCACCGGTAAAAATTCCAAAAAATAAGATCAGGAGTATTTAAAACATAGTGGGTAAATTAGGTGTTTAAGAGCAATCACTTGAGGACCGACCGAAATTCACACAATAACCTTGTGCAGATTCGTGCATTAGTCAACGAGCCATATCCATTGTCTGACAGCTGCCTAAACCTCAATAGGTGGAGCGATGCTCGAATCCGCAACCCACTGGTTAGAAGTCAACTTCCTAAACCAATCAGCCACAGCACTACTTGATAACCGCATCCTAACCAGACGATTTAAGGTTCATCCTGATGGATAAGAACCAATGAGAAGAATATACTTATCCACAAAATATTTAGACCAACCAACTAATCTCAAGCTGAATAATATTGAACAACTGTGAACATGGCCATGAGTCACACTGTGCATATTAGGCGTTACCTGATTAGTCATTTCCTACAAGAACGAAATGGGGTAATCCCAATCGCATCTCCAAAACCTTCAAAATCAAGTTGAAAGCCTTCAAAGACCACAGTTCAAGTTCAACACCCAGAACAGCGACTGAAGGACGAAACTACAAGGGACATATACACGTCAGCCACCAGAACAAAATGGGGATATTGAGCAACATTCCTGAAGGAACCTGCGTGGAACAACACTGGAACTCTTTGAAAGCTATGTGGAAAGAAACCTACATAACCGTATTAGGAAAAAAAAACAGGACAAGGAATGGATCTCGACGGACACATGGAAGTTGATAGAGCAAGGAGGGGAAGATGGTGATGGTGAAGCAGAAGATGAACCAGTGCAGTGAAGTGCAGTGCAGGGATGAACAACGGAAAGAGAAACTGAACATAACCTATAAAACACTACGATGGACAAAGAAGGGAAAAAGATTGCGCGCAAAGACAAAAGACACTTCTACGACACATTGGCAAGTGAAGCAGAACAGGCTGCAGGTAAGAGAGAAACTTGACAACATTATATCAAATAACCAGGTTAATACCTGGGTGGGAAGAGGTCAACGCAGACGAAACCAATGAAAGATAGTGAAGGAAACCTAGTTACCAAAGAGGAGAAACAAAGGAAACAATGGGCTGACCACTTCAAAAAACTCTTCGGTCAACCACTACCACCACCTACAACTCGTTCAGAAATACCACCAGCAACCACAGAACTACCAGTGAACACAAGCCCTCCGACAGAAGCTAAAGTCCTGAACGACATAAAGTTGCTGAAATGCGGGAAAGCAGCAGGACCAGATGGAATTCCACCAGAAGCACTGAAATAGATGCAGAGACAACAGAGGACATGCTCACACTACATCATTATTGCAGAAGGTTTGCTAGGAAGGAAGGAAAGGTACCTGGGGATTGGAAGAAGGGCTACCTTGTCAAAATCCCAAAAAAGGGAGACATAAGTGTTTGCAAAAACTGACACGGAATCATGCTCCTGTTCACAGTAAACAAAATATTAAGCCGCATCATCCTGGAGAGACTAAAAGATGCGCTGGATTCAAAATTACCATAGGGACAGGCTGACTGGCTGGCTTCAGGAAGAACTAACCATGTAGGGATCAAATTGCAGTGCTACGCTATGCATCATCATAGAAGAGAGCATAGAATGACAGTCAACTCTCTACCTCAACTTCATCGACTTTGAAGAGGCCTTTGACAGCGTCGACCAAGAAGTAATTTGTCAGTCGCTTTAACATCACAGAGTGCCACAAACCCTTATCAATCTCATTCACCAACTATATGAAGATGCCACATGCCAAGTAATTCACAATGAAAGCTCAGTGATGACTTTGAAGTGAAGACAGGAGTAAAACAAGGCTGCTGTCTACTATCACCCACAATCTTCCTGATTGTAGTGGACTGGATCATGCAGCAAACAGTGAGGAGCGAGGAGAGAGGCATATGCTGACTAGACCGATGAAAAGAGCCTAGAAGATTTGGGTTTCGGCGATGATGACTTGTGTCTAATGTGTTGTGGCACAAACTGGAAGATGTACAGGCGAAAACTGGCAAGTTGACAGAAGAGGTGAGGCAGCGAAGACGGGAATTGCTTCAAGTGAACGTAGAGAAGACAGAGGTGATGAAGATACCCAACCAACGCCACCATCATCATCACCACCACCACCACCAACAACAACAACAACAACAACAACAAGCTCCAATCACCATGAACGGGAGAAACTTAAAGGAAGTAGTCTCGTTCACCTACCTAGGGGGGGGCGGGGCAGCATCGTTTCAACTACATGCGGCACAGACACAGATGAGGACGTCAAAACCAGGATCGGGAAAGCAAGACAGGCTTTTATTAATCTGAAGTCATTGTGGAGACCTACTGTATTCAGCATGTGGAACAAGATCCGGATTCTCAACACCAGCGTCAAGTCAGTGCTTCTATATGGTTGAGAAAGGGATTTCCAACAAACTACAGACATTCATCAACAACTGCCTACGCTCGTTCCTGAACGAACCTCAGATGGCCGGAAAGAATAAGTAGCAAGGAACTCTGGCCGGGCAACGAACCAACGAAGAAAGAACCTATCGCCCAACAAGTATGCAGAAGGAAGTGGAGATGGACTGGGCATACACTGGGAAGACCATTCGGGGACATCATACGCCAGGCCAGGCCCTCGAGTGGAATTCAAAGGGGAAACGACGAGTTGGGCGTCTGAGGGTGACATGGAGTATATCATGTAAGGAAGGAATGAAAGCTTGTGAGCAGTCGTGGAGCCATGTTGAAAAGATTGGAGAGAAGGGAGTGCAATGGAGACGTGCTACTGAAGCCATATGTTCCACTAGGAATCCAAGGTACAAAAAATAATTCGCATGTTCAGCAGAAAAGTGAAGTTTTGCCGCAGATTTTTTCGCTCCTAAAAAATATCAAAATAAGATACTGTTTAGTGTGACTAGAACAAATTCAAAACCAGAAGTTGGAAATAAACTACCCATTGAATTCCTCCTAATGAGTTGAAAGATTTTACAAACAAGATTGATAAATTGTTATACCTATAACTTTTAAATTAAGTGGCGATAATCAACCACAAAAAACTATAAGTATCGATATTACAGAAACGGAAGTTCATGAAAATGAATTCAAAGTAAATAGACAAACCACTAACTTTATTTGAGCCTGAATTGAAATGTGGGCAGTTTATGCATGCACTGGTCCATAAAAAGTTGGATCCATGGAGTAACTGTATCTCTTGACATTTAGAAACAGTATTAGAGACAAAATCATTATTGCTTGAACAATATTTTTCCGAAGGTGTTTCATCAAAATTAGGAGAGTATCTGTCATACGATGATGCATTGTATAAAGCATGGAACGCATCGATCCTCCCACGTTCCAAATTTATTGTATTTGATTTTCTGTCAAAGTAAGTGACAGTTTTCTGGTTGGAATCAGCACTATGTTTACATTCATTTAATGGGTATTTTTTGTTCACAGCGTCCTCAGAACTGAATACCTGACTTACCACCTTGGCAGATTCAAAAGCGTATGACTGTTTTTAAAGAAAAAGAAATATTGAATGAATTAGGAATACATTTTATACTATCAAACGTCATCTCGATAATAATGAGTCAAATCTTTTCAATAACCTGTGACCTTTTCTCTTTAAACAGTGTGTATAGGTGCTACATGTATCAAACTAATTGTTATCAGTTAATTAATGCTTTCTTAATAAGGATGAGAATGAATTGGAACAGCGTTATAGTAAAAAGTTCACAACCTAAATAGCATATACATGATTTAAATACTACAGCAAGTTCTATATTGAGACATACATATGGGGTGGATAAAGAAACTTATTAAAAAGATACTATGTTAGGAGACATATATTCCCAATGTAGTGATTTGTAAATTTCCTTCTGCCTAGATAAGACCTAAAAGTTATTCGATCCCACAATGACAACTGCGGTCCAAGATAATACTTCAGAAAACTGTGTCGTGAGAACATTCTGAACAAACTGCTCAACTTACCACACTTCTTAATGATAAACAGAGATATAACCCACAAAAGGTGGAGATTTCGTATAATATTTTTGATTTGATATTTCACGCAAAGAAACTATTATTTACTGGATGACATTTCGAATAGAAATTATTCGTTATATTCATGTCAAAGGTAACTTTACACTTTTCACATACAGCGTTAATGGTTCTATTTCTGCTCCTTTATTGTTGTATGGGTAGTAGAATTTCCCAGTAATGTGGAATAGGTGTTGAGTCATTCATAGTGGATATGTTTGATATTGATTCGATAAGCAGAGCTCAATTTATCAGTCTTTCCCTCCACCTCACCAAGTTAGTTTTTAGGACCCTCACTCTGTTGCATCCTACTGTGTGGTAGTATGTGACCACATGGATTGAAATAGCTGAGCCATTTTTCAGATTCTCTATTCAACTCGGTGTGAAGTTGCCGCTGATATGAATATGAAGAATAAATTCTACTGGAAACGTCATCCAGTAGATGATACTGTTTAACTGTGTGGAGTATTAAATATACAATCTACTATGTAATTGTAAAGCTCCACAGTGCTCAAATTCTACTCTTATATTAATAGTGAAGTGAAAGGATGGTATCGTTGAACAAGGAACATGTACAGTATTCACTGGCCTCTAGGACGTATAGGTAGTAAATGATGATAAATGGTAGGTTTTTAATTATATCACTTAGGATCCCTAACCAGTGGCTTCAAATATTTCATAGGATACAAAATATTTTATACTTCTTTATACAGTTCATATACAACAGTAAACAACTTTTACTTTTGATGCAGTTTTTTATCCTGACTACCCAAATGTTTTGTTTTAATCTAATTTGGCCTCAGCTAATGCTGCCTCTGAGAATCTGTCACGATTCGATATACATAAGAAACGTTTAAGTAGTGAATAACGACATTATTACCAACTGTCAATTTCATGAAGCCTCTTACTCTTAATTTTAATACTTGTCACTTGGCTAATTTCTCAAATGTGGATGATTCTCTAATGCTAATTGAGAAAAAATGCATTCATTGCTTTGTCGCCTACTTTTAAATGTCATGTATTGGATCACTTGTCTGTGTATTGTATTGAAGTGAACCAGTATTGCAGAATGATCCGAAATGTAGCAGGTATAACTCGCATCTTAAACCTTCTTAGATTCTAATCAACATATTTACAAACGTTTGAGTCTTGCTAGCACTTTCACTCAACAGCTTTATCATATCTACCTACCGCGAATAGCTCGAAGTCTTACAATAAATCACTTCGAAATGTCGGGGAAAAACATATACATTTGTTAGTACGTCTATAAAGAAATTAAACAAGCCATGGAGCTAAACGTTGTTAGTCGACACTACTGGTTGTATCACAATCCACTAAAAGGTCTCATACAGCAGCAAGAGTCCAAGTACAAAGAAACTAATCAAGTGAGATAGTTGCTTGAAACTTTATAAACAGCCATAGAGTCTGCTGATTAAATCAGATACTATATTTACCTCAACAAACACATCTAGTGTGCTTAATACAACGTAATAAATTTAAACTGCCCAACTAAGCAGACAGGTAGGTTGAGTTGGTTTGAACTCATGAAATAGTGGTTAGTCAAATACTTAGGCTACCGTCCTGTTATTAAATCCGAATCTAGGAAGATAGATGAAGATAAAGAGCTGATGGAAGCACTTTCAAAGACATTTAAGTTTAAATAGACTATTTCTGACAAGTTTACGTCTGCAGACGGTCTGGCTGTTTGATAAAAAATTCGAAATATCACCTATGTATACATTTTGTCACACGATCAGAACCAACCAACTTCATACATTTCACTATACACCTTGTCAAGAATGTTCTAACTCTGGTAAAACTCAGACAGAATTGTCACACGTAAGTTGTTGGTGAATGGTAGTTGACTTTCAACCAGTGAATCACGGGTCCAAACACCACCTCACTCACCAAGGTTTGAGCAGTCAGGAAGTATTAACCTTCAAACAGGAGTGCTTTATTGTCTACTGAACAAATGTGCACAAGATTACTGAGGGATTCCGTTCAAACAAATAGTTGTAATTTACGGTAAAATAGAGGGTAACCATAACGAAACTGGTAAAAAAAACGGGTAGTAGAAACTAGAACCACTTACACTTGAACACCATTCAAATATGTTATATAACCATAGCGATCCTAGACTGACTAGTCCGGCTGCTAGGCCCAATAGGAAAACATGACGCTTGTAGACGAAACCTAAAGTGATACCAACATAAAATGAGGGCTTTTTATGAATAAAACTAGATACCTATGGATAATTGAAGTTAGAAGTTAATTTCAAGCAGACCGTATTAAAGTTTTATCAAAGGTAGAAAAAAGATGACACAGGAATATTCCAAAATAATCCCACATTAACTCAAAACTCGTCTTTACAAGACACATCATTTTACATAGTATACAGTCATTATCAACCAGAAGATGAAAACCAGGGTGTATAATGACTTCCGTGTTTCATGGGTCACCCATATTTTTTACTAGGTGGAGCCAATAGTGTTGTTACGTTATTTTGTGTGTCTTATTTCTTAGTGCCCTTGCCGTACCATGTTTATGTAATAATAATAACAATAATAATGATAGTAAGAAGAAGAAGAATAGCTATAAGAAAAAACATGCGTAAAGAATGAGAACAGAAGCAGAAAAATATAAACATATACCTCAAAGATCTCGTTTAAAATATAAATCCTAAAGGTAGTAAACGAATGATTTTGCAACAAAACAACTTGAATAATTGGACAAAAATCCCACCACTTGTATTATATTTAGATAACCCAAACGCCGAATTCATGGCCCAGCCAGCCTGAAACCTACCATAACTGAATGAAAAATTGACGGCCAGTTTATTGGAAAACCTTCCCATATGAAAAATTGATTTCCATAAACAGCAAGTTAGGATTTACGCTAGCAGTTCACCTCACTAACAAAAAAAGTTAAGGCTAAAAGCAACCGTCGATCAATTAACCCTGAAATATATACATAACGAATAAATCCAAATGAATTTATAAGAACCTATTTGAATAAATCAAGACGAGAATATAACTAGCAGCATTCTCAAGACACTAGCGTTAATTTGAATTCTTGCCTCTTCGATTCGCTGTAGGTACTAAGAACGTAATATGAAGCATGAAATACAAGAAGATTTTATCTACTGGACAGGAATTTTCCGCGACATCACAGCTATAACACGACGAAAGTCAAACTCAAGCACCTGAGTACTTCACGTTTTTATTGGACAAAAAAAATAACCTCCCAACAGAAAAACACTACTGCTTATCAAAATTACTAACATTCTTTAGCCTCTGGTGCTTGAGAGAATTGCCGGCTATCAAAGCGATGTGGTGAAATGAAGACGGTGACAGAAGTATTCAATCCACCGTTAAAAAGTTCTACATATTTCAACGTTCGCAGTCCTTCCTTCTTTTGACTTTCAGTGTAAAATAGACCACAGTGATCTTGTTTTTTTCTGAGAAAATCACTTTTAGCAGAAGTATATTTAAAATAATCATAGTAGAGGCATTGATTACTATTCTTATATATTCTCTGAGCTGTAGCTATTCTCATATCCTCTAAATATTCCACATATGGACCAGACTATGAAGTACTTTGGAAACTGAAAATGCTTCGCTCGAATACAGATACTACCAACGGACGATGGGCCATTAAAACTTGTTCATTTGAAATTTTGCTAAATTCCGAAACGGCCTTCAAATTGGAAAACCTTAACAATTGGTCAGTAAATTTACATTTTTCTTAAATAAACAGACTGTAGATACTTCGAAACCAAATTTTTGTAGATCGAATGCGTGATGCCTTCAAGGTTGGCGCTTCATTTGAGTAGTGACGTGTTTCGCTCGTCTCTCAGCTTTTGGATTTTTCCACAATGAAAAACTCCCACTTGCAATACTCAATCTAAAAACATCGAACGTTTGCAGCACTTCTGTCCGTCCACGCACCTCACCCCTGCGCATTCGTCAGCTCACTCCTCAACAGTTGAAAATTGGCATTATTATTCCTTTGAACCAACCGGTCTACCTCCTGTCAGTGGTTCTTGGGCGTTTCAACTGCCAAACTGCCTTAGCTCTCGGTTCTCCTCGGAGGTCATTCCCCAGGAAATATCTTTCCTGGTTATACATACGCATCTGGAGCTTACGGTTAAACTCGTTGGTCAAGAGCAGAGGATCAAGTGACAAGTGTCTGAAGGTGAGCCAACATAAATTATCTTCCCTTTTCTATTCTGTCCTTTTGCTGCATTCAGTCTTCAACCCTCTTATTGTTGTTAACTACTTGTTTTCCCAAGAAGTTTATATCATAGCGACATGTCTGCCCAAAACGCTAGGTCTGAAGCTTTGACACGGATAACGCGGTCGTGCACAACAACGGCCAGTAACACCCTAAACAACACACTAGTCTGTACTAGAAGACAAACAGAGGTAGGGCAGAACACCGAACTTCTGAAGAAGTGGCCAACCCATGTTTCTAGAATTCCAGTAGCCATCAGACAGGTGACACAGAGAAGCACTAGCCCGTCACAAACTAGTCCTATCTTGAGCAAGGATCATACCATGCCTGAAATAGAAGACGACGTAAAAGGCTTCAGAACAAGGCAGCCACAAGCAGTTCGCCACAATCCGTAGCACCTTATTCATGGAAGGAAGGCTGTATTACGACACCCGATGGCTGCAGTGTTTGCACCAAAGTTGTTTCGGTAGTCGATGAGGCATTTGCATGCAACCTGTGTCAACGATGGGCGCATTGCCACTGCGATACCAAAGTCCCCCGACAATACTATAAGCTGATGAAGAGACAACCATGCAAGTGGTTCTGGTACATCTGTCCAGAGTGCAGGAAAATGCCCGCACTCCGCACAGAAAGCCTGAAGGAGATGCTCTCCGCCACGCAAAAGCTACCAGCATCCTCGAATAAAGTAGGGTTAACACCAAAGGATAACACAGAGAGACCTGGAAACAGACCTAGAGCTCCAGCTGTGGGCACGCCACCTCGCGTGGGGACCATATTAGGTCAAGTCTCCATACCCCTACCCGGCCCCAGGGGACGTCAAGCGCATGGCCAAAGACATCGACCGCCGAAGCCTCTACGAAACCCATTCCGAACACCCCACACACCGTGACTGAGAAACAACCAGTGGAATTACTCAAACCCATTGGGAAGTCGGGCGTGCCACCCACAACGAACCCAGGTCACAGGAGGACCAACTCGATCATTTTGTTCAACGTCGATGTATCGACAGACTCATTGTTGGTCGAGAGGGAACAATTTGACAGCCGAATGTGGACCGACTACTGTCAGATGCTGGGACTCCCTCCCCTCCCTGCAACTTTATGTCGCCTTTCTCGAGGAAGCCATGCACCCCGAGATAAGCCACCCCCTTTACGTGTGTCCCTAAATACCGCCAAAGAGGCTGAAGACACACTCCTCTCGCGACAACCGGACGTTGTTAATGCCTGTAAAATTCGGGCCAGGCCTGACAAGCCATGGTCAATAAGAGAGGAGGAGAGAAAGTCAGCGGTTGGAAATCCCAACAGAAACAACACTATAGTTGTACATGGGATTCCAGAATTGCCAAGTGACAGCTCGGTCAAAGATCGGTACTTTCACGACGTCCAACAATGGCAATGGCTCTCAACCAAAGTTGGTCTCAACAGTATACCGGCCAACAGCGTCAGTAGACTGCCAAGGCCAGCGCACCTGAAGACCATACCCAATCCCAGACTACTTGCCGTCCAGTTCGACTCATATGCCTCCCTCACAGACGTTCTGCACGCATGGTATAATGCGAAAGATCGCATGGGTGGCTCAATACGTATATGTGAAAGTAAGCCTAGACCCACAAGGCAAGAGGAGAGACGGCAACCACCAAGACCTCTGGAGTCAGTGGTCGTCACACAGGCGCTGACCAGTGAGTTAGATACATCAAGTAAAGAAGCCACCACTGCTACAGCCCCCACCCAAGTTAAGAACAAAACACAAAAAACGGAACAATGCCAGTCCTATGAGGACTGGCGAGGCTAAATTCAACCACGTAAGCGCTCATCCCGCGAAAATACACATCCAGACCTCCCCTCTCATCAGGCACACTCTAATATGTATGTACAGCAACGTTAGGGGGCTAATAGGGAAGGTAGCAAAATGAGGACGCTGCGTGAACATCAGCACTCCGACATCATATTCATCACCGAATCCTGGCTCTCATCGGACATCTCCGACGAAGAGATGCGTGTTGCTGGCATGGAACTCTTCCGCAGGGACAGGGAACATAGAGCAGGAGGGGGAGTGGCTATCTACGCAAACTCCTGTTTAAAGGCAAGGATGGTTAGCGATACGGCCTTAACCCAGCTCCCAGAGTCTCTATGGTGCTACTTCACTCTCTTCTTTATTCTCTCTTCATTCCTTTACCACTACCTTACTATTCTCTTTCAGGTACCTACACAGACAGGAGTCATGGCAGTTCTCTAAACTTCCCAGCAACCCGTAGCTCCCTAATCACTCTACAAATTACAACCTACTAACCCACAAAACATCCACCTCACCGAAGCTAAAAGCAAGAAAGCAGAGGGGATTTCCTCGTCCACTGCAGGAGTAAACCGAACAACTGGAACCAAGCCCTAAGAACTAGACGCGAGAGATCAAAAACTACCAGTTTTCTACGCTCGCACTATCAATATTGGATATTGGATATTGGATGCCTAAACTATTTTTCAATTGCTTTCCTGTCTACCACATAGTTGAAAAAAATCGTTGTTTGTAGTAGACATTCCCGGTGAATTGACCATGCACAAAACACAGCGAGGATATTCTCAGTTCCCAATCATGGATTTCCGTATCTTGCCTATGATTGGTTTTAGATCGTCTCAACTTTTGTATCCAGCATCAGTAGTATGAGCATAGAAAACCAACAGATTTAAACTCTTTCGTCTAATTCCTGAGGCTTTCTTACCGCTATTCCTTCCTCACCTGCAGTGGAGAATAACGTTTTTACCATCCCCTCATGGTTAGTTCTGATAGTGTTCAGTTGTTGTGGGTTTTTGCCTGAAGCTAGTAGACTGAGTTGATTGAGTTGGAATGACAGGAAGTTGATGAAAATGTATAAGAGATGTTTCAGGGACGGTAAAGGCAGGTAGGGTTTGTTTGCTTAGCGGACGGAGACCTGGAGACTGGGTTGGTACAGCGCAGCAAACAGCTGGGAGTTAAGGAAAGTATATCAAGAGCTGAATGAGCCTTGTTAAGTGGTTTATGGTGTCAGTGCACTGCTCACGTTTCTGCGGACCATTTGATCTGATTTAGTTGTTTAAAACTCTCTTGAACGACCACATAGTTGTCACCACATCCGTGGTATAGGATTCCTGAAAAAGCGAAATCTTAAGGAAGATGAGTTTGTCCTGAGTCCGACGTTATCGCCCAGATATCCCACTCTGATGTTATTCCTTCTTCACAACTGCTACGTTGTTGATATTGTTAGTTCATCCCCGTGACCCACTTAGCGGACGGTCCTGCTAGCCATAAAATATCTCTTATCCTTTCGCGACAGCAATGAGTGGACATATTCAAGTGTCTAATTCTGTCTACCCTCCCTTTTCTCTTGTTAAGTAGCGACTTTTACCACAGTTTTCTGTGCTTTCTGAGGGAAACTTAAGTCTCTCTTTGGTGCCAATGGTGCCGCCACAGTGAGTACTTCCGCATACAGCCGAGTAAACATGTTGGAAGATTGTTAGAGAGGGGTCTCATGCGAAAGCTCAGGACCAACTGCGCAGGAACCTTAGGATAGCGTTTTCCCTTACTGCTATTCTTTTTAATTTGGAACTAATGTTCAACGTGCTGGGGAAGGTGGGGCCTCAGTCATATCCTCGCACACTTTGGTGATAGCAAAACTACCCCACCTGCATCCTTATTAGTGGTCAGTTTTTCTTGCTTTCTGGGCCTTACAAACCCCTCTTGCGCTTTCCCAGGTCAAGACTATGGCAGGTTACCATCGATTGTAAATCTATGTACCCAAGGTCGCCCCGAATACCTTTGGAGCTAGCTTCCTTGTTTATTACCCCCCATATTTTAGTTTCCTCAGAAGTCAGAATGATGGGCGTGGAGGTTTTCCACCGAAAATGGTTAATGAATAGCTAAAACTGAATTGATCAAAAGATTCATCTCGAGGAAGCCTCACATGGTGATAGAATCTAAGTTAATTACATGCCGCTGATGTTTGCTTCTAACTGTCTGCTTTCCAGGAACTTGCTGAAAAATAAAAGAGGTGGTCCACTTATCCGAACGTAGGGTTGTTCGTGGCTAGTGAATCGTTTGAGACCATGTATTGTTCTTCCTCAGGGCCTGAGGTGGCTCGATTTCTCGTTATCACAGCGGTTGGGGTACCTAAGAAATCATCAATCCGTTAACACACGAATGTCTACTCAGAAAGACATGTCTTACAGTATAAACGGTGTTCTATCTACTTGAGCGGCTCCGGATCTCGTTTGCTGCCAGTCTTCTGAGTACTTTGGACATTCCAGCGAGCGGGCGGTAATCAGTGGGATTATCCGAAATGGCCCATATTGAGTCACGTCAAGGTTCGAACCGGTGGGCTGTGGACTATCGAGCTGGTCCACTACCATTTAGTGTCGGTCTGCTCCGTGGTGTTCGGCTGCTTCAAGAAACATCACAGATTTTGGAAGTAAGAAATATCGTATCCCTAGTATCCAGTGGTAATTAATACATATTTGATCACCTAACTGTTTTTTACTCCGT